AATAGTTTTCGTTGCAGAAAACAGTACTTGCACACCCTTCAATAAATAAACTATATCTTTCAAATCACGAGGAATTTCTTGATGAAACTATTTTTGTTTGATAGTAGACTCAATTTGATGAGTTATAGTAAAATTTCACCTAGAAATAAAGTCATATGGTTGGTGGGAAAAATCACGGAACTCAATGGATAGTTCATGGATTTTGTTGGGTCAGAACTGACACCCTTCATTAATGAGTCCATAACTCTCAATTCCCATAAGATCTCCCACTCAAATTTTGCAAGTAGATCCTATTCTCAAAGACATACAATATCACTGAAGTATGAAATAGAAAAATATATTATTATCTTCTTCATATCACTGCTCCAAAATAGCTTGGAATACCCATTCTGCAGAATGCCTATTTCGGTGTTTGAATATTCTAATAATTCTTAACCATAGGTGTATTACGTGACCACAAAGGTCATTGGCTTTCTTATATTTCATTCCCAAGCTTGATCTAGACTCAATAAAGAGAAACGACAGCTGCTGACATCATGTATCAATAGCTCAAATACCAATGAAAGAAAGACTAATGCGATCTTTCCGGAGAATATATTTTTTCATTTTTCTTCTTTTCACCTCTTTTCTTTTCTTTCGGCAAAGATCACTTACAAGTAGTTTTATTATAACAACTCTTGCTTTGCTTCAAAGGAAATAAAACTAACAAATCCAAGATTTTAAAATCCTTGATGCTATTAAACCAATTTTCTGTAAACAAAAAAAATATACACAATTCTTATGCTTAGGCATATAAAGACAATATAATTAAATATGACAAGAAACAAAAAGAGAGTGCCGGAAATTACCTCAACCGGGCTTATTACACCCCACGTCTAGTCACCACCATGCAATGGTGCGGGATTAACGATCAACCTTCAATCTCAACTGGGAAAGCAAGTTTAATGAAACTATGAACTCCTTTATCACAAATCTCAAACCCTTAGGTGAATTCCTTTAGCAACCTAGTTTGAGAGAAATACTTCTCTTTTGTACCACAACCCTGTAGTCTAAAATCCCAATGAGAGATGAGAGATCATGAGAGTTTTGAGAGAATCACCATGAGAGAGTGGGGCGTACCCCTTTGGGTCTCTTGAGAGAGAGAGAAACTTTCTTAAGAGAGAGAGAGAAATTCTAAGTGGGGCGTGCCCTTTTGTGGGATATGAGAGAGAGATGGGAATTAGGTGTAAGAGATAAGGTATAGAGATTTTGGGTAGAGACAATACTTTTTTATAGGCTTTGAACAAGAATAGGGTTGCTCAGAGAGAGATGGGAATTGGGTGTAAGAGATAAGGTGTAGAGATTTTGGGTAGAGACAATCCCTTTTTATAGGCTTTGAACAAGATTAGGGTTTCTTAGGGTTTTCCTTGGCTTGTCTCTCTTGCGAGATTGAATATGAACCATTGATCTTGGGTGACTTGTGGGGTGAGAGATTTAAAACATCCATTCCATAAATGGGCCATCAACATTATGAAAGGTGCTAGAACCTTTTATCCCCCATTCCTAAACCATTTTCTCATCAATAGAAATTAAATAAAATAATTCCATTCATAATATGGTGCTTACCAAAATTATGCACAAGCCTTCTCATGCTTTCCAAAAATCCTTTTGAAAGCTTCCTTAAAGCAAAATCTTTTTAAAACACTTCAACTCTTTCTCTTCAAGCCAAAGCTTGAAGCTTGAACTAGTACAAGGAAAATTTCATTAGGGTGGGGTGTGCCACCCTAGGTGGTACTTCATGGGCCCCACCCACATGCAATGGTGGGCCCATTAACATATTGGGCCTCCCATGCAATATTAAAATTATTAAAATTAATTATATGATTTTTAGACATCCATAAAATCAAATTTGAATATTTAAATCAATCTAAAATCAATATCTCTGTTTTTATAAATCCAAATTTGATAAATAAAATATCCAGAGATCTACAAAAATTCAAATAATAATTCTAAAAATCATATATCATCAAAACAAATATAATTAACTTCATTAGATGGGAAAATGATCCATATGGTCTAGGAATTAAATAAATAAACGCTGGAGCACTCCACCTTCAACTGTGGACTACGGTCCACACTTTCTTTATCAAACCGACCCAGTGTTTTCCATGAACTATAGTCCATGCAGGGGCTCATTAATGGGTAGTGAGTCACCATAGTCTGGCCAATGAGCCAAGGGGTCGTAATCTTAGTTTGTGAATTTCAGGTTCTCCCCTAGAGACATACCAATTTCACCTAGACTTGATGCGATCACTGCTCTTATGGCGCATAGGGGTATCTCTCGCACATGCATAAGCTTCATCCTAAAAGGTGGTTCACTTTCTCGAAATGGCTATCATTATGCATGCCGTGTGATGGCTCGCGGATGAAGCTTTGGCCCCCGTCTTTGAAGGCCACCATCGCGCACAAGGGTCACGCAGTTCCTCGACTCACTTATCCGGACATACTCCGACCTCACCAAGGGATGACCTATTAGAACCTTTATCAGATAGTTTTCTATGTCCATGTAACAAAGGTTTTTCCCAACCCACTGGCCTAGCTTGTCAAGTTCAGTCAGGTATCAGCAAACATCGTTACTTAGTATGATCTACGAGGGACCACACTCCCACTGAGTTCATGTTCCACTATACCATTTCATTTTACAAGTACTCATAAGGCCTTTAATGACCACATTCACCCAACAATTTTTAGTCTCTTGGGATGGGACTCTAGCAGTGAAGGTGTTTCTATATGGCCTTTTAAAGGTAAATAAGGTAGAATCAGTGGCATTAGGCAGAAGATTTTTTATTCAGCTCCTGTTCAAAATTGACACAATACACAATGGGATGCCCTAGATTGGTAAAGGATGCCATTCTACACTGACAGAATTAATAGCGAGTATACTATGGTCCCCCCGGAGCATACTTTCCGCTTACTCCCTTCTGATGATTTTTTCGGTCAGACATTTGGGAATCCAATGAGAATCACCAGATGACTATTTAAGAAAAAGAAAGGATTTTGAGTTCTTCAATATTTAGATCTCACCTTCCAAAAACTGGCTAGTTTTTTTTTCAGTCTTGGGACATTATTTTTCTCAAGCACATACATAGAGAGTGCAATATTTTCTCCCTGAAGTTATTCACTAGGTTGAAGTGGTTGCATCCCCAACATCAGCGGTCCTTAAAGTACTCCTAGATTGGTTTTACCCAAGGGAGTAAATGGATATTATGCTCCCACATGAGTATTAGAACTTTTTGACTGCAGGTGAAGTATTCAAAACAGAGAATGCAAGCTAAAAAATTCAATGGATTTCTAATATTCTGAACTTTTTGAATACAGGTGAAGTATTCAAAACAGAGAATGCAAGCTAAAAAATTCAATGGATTTCTAATATTCTGAAGTTACTGCTCATTCGCTTGGGTTGCTTGTTCAAAGAGCAATTTACTGATATTGGATTTACAAGATCTGTTAAATTTAACCACCGTACTACATTATCATTTAAACTGATTCTATCTTCAGATATAATGTCCATTTTATTAGTTGGAACAAGAGTTGCATATTTATAAAGATGCAATCTCATGGTTCTAGAGGGCTTAGTAATTATCCATTCTTCTCAGTCATCTACAAATTCTTAGGACCCTGTTCTCCATGTTATTCATTGTACACCAGCTATGGCTCACAAGGATGTTATGATGATTATATTATTGGTTGCTCTAGATGCCTTGATGCTACTTTGGTACCTTAATCTCTAAGGTGGGGGGCGGAGGATATCAAGGACTTACCAATGATGGTTCCGTACGAATCCTGTATATAATCATTTCAAAATTACTTGCTTCCTGCTGTCATTTCATTAATGTCCCATAGCAAGGTGCATTGTCAATTGTTCTTGATTTAGGAGAAGTCTCAGGGATGAAAAGTCCTCCACTCGGCATTAGCTTTTGTTGTATTCTGGATCAATTTTTTTTTTTCCCCCCTAGCTCTGTCTGTGACAAGATGGTTTGGTCTCCGGCAAGCATGATACTTCTTCCATGAGTTCGCTTCTTTGAAGTCGATTAAAATAAGTGAAATAGCATTGTTTGCACCAGCAATATCTATAAATTCCCAAAACTCCAATTCTCCAGTCCCATATTTGATCTTAACAGGGATATTTCCATTATGAACAATGATGTTCCAACTGGATTGGCGCAATTATCTTTCATGGGCTTTGGAAGGGCACATAGTGGTACTCCTGAAAAGTGATCCTCCCAATCCCTTGGGTGGAGGAAATTGTCAAACTTAGTCAGTGTTGAATCCTCTTTATTGTTGGACCATGTGGATCTAGCCCCTCTAAGATGGAGATTGATCTGGTCATGATATCTCATGGTACTGTATACTCTGCTGGTCTTGCCATTCCCTTTTCTTTCATGAGGGAAATCACATAGAAATCCCCAGAAACGTTGTCTATCCTACTACTTAAAAATCCCATTCAAATCCCAGGCACTTATGGCTGAAATCTAATTACTGCATTTCCATATTATTGACGGATCAAATGGCTGACATTCATTTTGTTGGCCTTTTTTCATTCCTTTTTTGGTTCATCCACCCAAATTGGGTCCATATTTTGGAGAAAAGTGACCTGCATTTACAAGCATATATTTCAGCCATATTCTTTCAAGGGAAGCTAAACCTTGGGCTTTTTTTATAGAACAATTATATTGAAATTTTAAATACTAGCTCACTATTTTTTTTAAAGGCCCAATTTGGCTTTCCTTTGAAAGACCAAGTTCTAGTGTTCATTTTTTAGTCCTCAGTTGAAACCATTCCAGGTTCCACAACGTGGAGCTAACATAGGCATTATTGACTTAATTTTATTGGCAATGTATCTCCTGCTTTGTAAAATACATTTTATGTTAATTTCTTGATCTGGTATTCTACTTCATATTGCACACTGTTTATCTCATGGTTTTAAATGACCTAAAATGGTCATTCAAAAATGCTTGTAGGATTTTGTGCAAGTCCAAGGTAAGAGGTTGAAGTTGAGGACAGAGTTCCGGAGCAGTCTTGAAGCCATCTTTTCTGAACTGACTTCGGCCTCTAAAAAGAATCAAATTGAGGCCCAGTCTACCATGGCAGCTGATCTCATAACTATTGGTGACTCATGGATGAATTTGGCTATTTGTGAGGGTATTATTGAACCTATTCTTGACGCAGAAGAACAAGACTGGTATAGTAGCTTGCCTGACAAATGGAAGGTATGATTAAGACTGGATAGAGAGAGCTTATATACTAACATGCACAAATCTTACTAGAGCTCTTTAGATAATTGGGAAATTAAGTTGCTTGGAAGTTTGAGCGTAAAACTAAAATAAGAAATAAAGGAGATTTGGTTACCATTTAAGTTGGGCTTCAGGAATAGCAAATCCATGTGTTTCTGTATACTCCCAATAATGTGCAATTGATGGTTTGACTCTTTATTCATGTTAACTAGGCCATACAATCTACAAACTGACCTTTTCCTTTTCATTGGATCAGCTGGGATTAGTGATACAACTGGAAAATTTGTATTATCCTGGAAGGTAACAAAAAAAGGAAAAAAAAAAAGGAAAAAGCAGTGAAGTGCTAACATGGTCAATTTATCTGAAGCATATGAATATTGTTTAGCACATTTTAGTTTGATTGACATCTCGTTCAGGTTTATTTACGCAGGAACAAGAATGGGCAGTTGGATCCAAGAGGAAAAATATGGGGTGCTCCATATCGATGGGGAAGCATGGTGATTGCATATAACAAGACTAAATTTGAAAGGCATAATGTAGCTCCAATTGAGGTAAACCATGTTCACCTTGACCTTTGGCCAGGTTCTTTTGCTGATTATTTATCCTGGTAGTATTGAAATCTATGTTTCTAACTTGCTGCCCTTTGGCAATTATTATTGCTGTTTATGTGATCCCCCTTTTTTATAACAAGGTGTAGATTAATTGCTATAGATTTTCTAATCTTCACCATGAAGATTGTAGTATGTTAACCTTCAGTATGACCTTTTTTTTTTTTTTGGTTTAATGCCATTGTTGTCTATTTTTGGTGATATTGGGGTGGGGGCATTTATAATCGTTTACCAGGCCATTGATGAGAACATAAGGGCCAATTAGTTGTGTAAAGACATGCCAGGCATATAAATACTCAGAATGCCTTTCAAATGCTGAATTTCAGATAACCATAACAGAAGATGAAAAACACCTTAACTTATAATGACGACAGAGAGAACAACGGGCATTTTGTGTCACTCTTTGGTAGGATATACACATTTCTCCCTTTATGTTTGTCCTTAGCAAATTTGATGTACACACACATAATCTGTGTGTATACACAACTTGCTACTGTTTATGTACTTGCACTCCTAACTCTAATCATTATAGCAACTTACTATATATTACAATGTGTACAGTTGCATTTATAGCTTATCATATAAATATTTTAGGACTGGAAAGACTTGTGGAGGCCTGAACTTGCTGGAAAGATATCAATGGTGGATGCTCCTAGGGAAGTTTTGGGTGCAGTTTTGAAGTATATGGGGGCCTCATATAATAGCAATGATTTCAGCTCTCAAGTTAGTGGTGGAAGAACAGCTGTCCTTCAAAAATTTTCAGCTTTGCGAAGGCAGGTGTGCCCATTTTACTTTTCTATTTTGTTTGGAACTTTTTGTAAATCTATGCACCAGAACTTCTTGATACATGACATGATTTTTAACCCATTTTTTGCAGCTGGAGAATGTTTTCTATAATGTTGTGGCATATCTAATGTGATGGTTTTGTTCAATGGTTTCTTGCCTGTGAAATTTAACTGACAATATTGTAATGAAGGTGGATAAACTGAAATAATTTTGCAGATTACATGAAAAAAGGACATCTAAATTAGTTGCCACTTATCTATTTGCTTATGCAGGTTCGATTATTTGATAGCATGCACTATTTGAAGGCATTTGGTGCAGGCGATGTTTGGGTTGCAGTTGGATGGAGTAGTGATGTTCTCCCTGCAGCCAAGCGCATGCCCAATGTAACAGTAGTTGTCCCAAAGTCAGGAACCAGTTTGTGGGCGGACCTATGGGTATTTTGAGATTTTCTTGTATTTAATCTTTGTCATATCCGTATCTATTGGGCTTTCAAAGAAAGTGAAATAGTTTCAACGTTGATAATGCAACTGTTCTCCTCTATCTCCCTCACTCCCTCCCTCCCTCCAACCCACCTAAAAAAAAGGAAAAAGAAGAAGAAGAAAAAAACAAACCAAGGAAATGCCATTTAGAATGTTGTATGGTGGAATCTTAGGATCCCATCTTTTCCTCTATAATCCTTTTAAGACTCAAACTACAAGAAAGGGTTACTGCTCTCTCTCGATCACTGGTTGCATTGTGATGTATTAAAAAAAGTGATTGTACTCTCTCTCTCATGAAGCAGATTGCTTTCTATAGGCATAACTTTTCACCTAGGTGTTAGTTTGCAGCAATTGAAATCAAAGATATCCCTAAGACCCACAACTACTATTTCCGTAGTTTTTCTCTAATTCGGATGTCTTGGATTCTATGGTCGAAATCCTGGTGAGAAGTTCAGTTACAAATTTTTCTAGGAATAGAGTCTTGGTTTAATTTAATTAGACAAGTTCGAATCTTCTTTAGTTTTTATTAAGATCATTCCAAATCTGGTAATAAAAGGTTGTCCCTTATTTCATTTAACAGTCCTAGAAAAGATTCTTTTCATATTTTTTAAGGTTTAGTTTCCTAAAGAGGTAAATTACCTAATTTTGAATTGTTCTGCAAGCATAATTATCAAGACCAGATCAGAGCGGCCAGTCTGGCCGGTCGGACCCACCACCAATTCCTTAGCCAGTCTAGCCCAAAGAAAAAATCAGGTTAGATGAAAAGTTGGTCGAACTCAAAACTAGTGTTTGACAGGTTTTTACTAGTTTGACCGGCTAAATACAGTATAGTAGCCGGCCCGATTCTGATAACATTGTTTCCAAGATGCTACCTTCTTAATATTGTAAAAGAGGTAGTTTCTTAAAATTATGAAGGATCTAGTTCCATAATATTGATTAAATAGATTAAGGGATTGCTTCCATTCCAAGTTAAACACAATAGAGGTTTCTTCGTCTATAAATAACAATGTAGGCCTGTGGTCAAATCAAATCAAGTGTTGAGATATAAAATTCGGACATCGAAGATTGGTTTGGAGCAGAGAGTATTCCCTCATCTCTAAAGAATGATTCCTTTAGGCTCCTTAGTGGTGTGATTTTACAAACCCTAGAATTTGATTGATGTGATACCATCAGAAAACTAGGGCCCCTTTCTCGCTGAGAGAACACAAACCCCAGGCTAGTCTTGTACTCTGCTCCTTTCTTCATTTCCCCATCTTCATCTCCTCTCCTCTCCTCTCTTTATCCTGCCTCCCATTCAAACGCTTTCACAAACCCTGGCAAACGTCTCCAAACTCTAGGTAAACTAGCTCAATAGCTTCCTGAACTACCTACCCTCCACAGCCTTCAAATTTAAGTTTAAACTCCAATTTTCCCTAATTCAACCCTGGAATCAATCTTGTAATCCTCCTATTTGCTAGACCTGTTGGCTTTAACCCCTTTAGAAACCCTAAAATCTATCGTACACCTTGCCCTAACCCGAACAAGCCCTTCCCTGTAACCCTAACTCTGGTTCGAATTCATTTAGACCTCATACCATGTATCTCTGCCCTAATTATAAAACCTTAATGAGGTCCAAACCTGGCTATCTTAATCGCTGGGAACTTCCGCCCCTTTAGGACTCCTAAATCTTACCTAAACAAAATCGGCAATTGTACCCAAATCCTTTCTTCTATACCCTTTCTTGTGAGTCTCTCTCTTTCTCTCTCTCTCTCTCTCTCTCTCTCACTTTCACATACCCACACACATGCTTACACACACACACAAAATAACAGACAGCTACTTGGAATACTTAGTACTTCTACTATCAAATGTAAAATTACATCGGCCTAGAGATGAAACGTGTTGTTAACAGGCGATTCCAGCTGCATCAACATTTGCTACTGATAGGATTGGGGGACGGGTCCGAGGTCCATCTCCTCTCATCCACCAATGGATTGAATTCTGTCTACAACCTGCAAGGGCATTGCCATTCTGCCAAGAAATTGTCCCTGGAGCCTCCCCCTTGGCCCTTACTCGCCCTTATAACTTCATAGAGTCACTGGAAACAACCTCTGGCGCACCCAAGCTGGAAACAAATCTCATTGCAGGTTTACCGCCTCCTGAGATCTTATGCAAGTGCGAGTTTTTAGAGCCCCTATCGAAAGAGGCTTTTGTGGATTACCAGTGGCTGATAGCTCACTCGCCAAAAACAAGCGATGGATGGATTGGCAGCATTATGAAGTTCTTTACCTCCACACTTCAGCATTTGAAATATGCACCTTTTAGATAATTGGATGGTTCATTCTTGAATTGTTTCTTGAGTTTCTCTACCTAGAAACAAGGCACAATCGAATGAAAGGGAGAGCTAGAGTTCTTGGAGCCTTGAAAACTTGTTTTTTATACTTCTGTTGATATATTAAATTATCTGTATACAAGGAAGCATGAGATCAATTCGGGTTCTGTTTGGGAAATTGTCGATGGCGGACGTGCTGGTGAAGCTGGCCTGGCTATCTTAATAAAACTGGAGAGAGTTGATTTCATAACAATGAGTATTGATTTCTTGAGGTTTTCTAATTTGTTGAAGTTGCCATGGGTTTATTGTTGTACTTATAGGAGGAGACTTGTGATTTATAGTCCCAAATTGCATGGATTTTACGACATTTGCGTAGTATGAACAAAGTCCTGTGTGTATTTTCTGTACGTGTACATTGGCTTATTTCACGTCTCATAACCATTTAATTTAGCTCGTCTGTACTGGGAGTCCCAGTAAATAGGAAAAGCTTATCCATACCCACCTTGCTATGGGAAAATTATATACCATAGGGTGAATTATACAGGGCCCATACTCCTAACCGTTTGATTTAAATGAATGGTTAACCGTTTGATTTAAATGGATGGTTAGTTTGATTTAAATGGATGGCTAGGATAGTTGTAGTTGTAATGTCAATTTTTTTTTAAAATAAATCATATTGAGAAATTTTGCTCACCTACTCACTAGCGTGCATCAAACAAAAAAGAGAATATTTTGATAAATAAAATGATCAAAATATTCTTGCAAGTTCTAAGGGTGGTTTTAGTCATTTTGTTTTATTAAAAAATTATTTATGTGTTTGTTTTAGGTGCTCCCTTGAGAAGTAGGTAGACCTCAAATTTCATATCAAAATGTTGTATAATAAAAAGAAAAAGAAAAGCTAAATATAAACTTCTCTAATCTATTAGATAAAAAATGTATGGTCAGAGATAACTTGTGACATGATGGCGGAAGCTATCTCGACAGTGGCTTGGAAGGGGGCAGGGCTAGTAGCTAGGGGCATATAAAAAGCTTTCCCTAATAGCTAAGTGCACTTATGTTTATGGATTTGAGTATGTGAGGCACCTCGAAAAATTAGGGCTTGGGCTACAAAATATGGCACGAGACCTATCTGTCCTAACCATGAGTTTTTCGTATTCGCCATTTTCTTTCGTTGAGTCCATTTGGGCCAGCCTGCGGGCCCTAGGCCAAGGTCGGGCCTGGGCTTGAGTGAAGGCCGTCACATCCCTGTCAAGGCCCGGCCAGGTTTGGGCCAGGCACAAGCGAGGTAGGCATAAGCATCAGTACTTGCGTGTGTACTTGGACGTAGAGAGTGTTTAGTTGTGCATGTACTTGCATGCAGAGAATGTTTACTTGTGTCTGTTGAGTGTACATGTACCCCTACGTGTTTTTTTTCATGCGGGTCACATCAAAGTGGGTCTATGATTGTGGACACTATGTATTTGTGTTTGCATGACAAAAACCAAGCAGGCATGATGATGATGATGTATCTTTGACATTGAAGGAATAAGAAGGATGGAGAACGCTACAATTTGACCAAATTTTGATGGGCGATGTCATGAGACTATAGACTACAGTGACCTAGCATTTGCCAGAACTCTCAAGAAAGTGTTAATGATGATCTTTCATAAGCCGAATAACTCTCTTTTATAGATGGTTTCAGTTACTCCATCGTTTGACTGTCCTTGTTATATCTAAGAAAGTGACCCTCCAAATTTGGGAGTATGGGAGTTATCCGTTAACCATTTGGAAAGATTGTTTTTTCGCTCTTTTAAAGGAGTTTTTAAGATGTTTCTAAGTCTCATCAAGTTCACATGCTTCGAAAATAGTTCAGCTCTTAATCGTTTATGTTAAGGGGTCAACAATCATATTAGCCTTTGTCAAAATAATTTACAGTTCTATTTTATTTTTATAATGTCATAAATATAATGTTATTCACTTTCAATGCACTTATCCTTGGGGCTCGGTGCTCTATTTTTAATCGGTTGACGTTAACTTCGAAAAATTTGACTGGTCCATCGGTTGACATTAACTTCGAAAAATTTGACTGGTCCATCGGTTGTATCTTGCTTCAAAACTTTATGAAGCATCTAATCCAGATGGCATAAGTGGTAGCACTTTAGCTTTTGTAATACATTGATTTACACAATCTTGTTTCTTGAGCATCCACCTCCAAAGACGAATAGACATCTAAAGGTCAATTTTCTACTATTTGGGTCTATGGAAAAATCTGCATCATGTAACCACAAACGTCTAAACTATTGGCTTGGAAGCACAATTCATAGTTTTTGGCTTTTTGAATATACTTGAGTATCACTTTGATGGGAAAGTAATTAAAAATATAAATTGCAATGTTGATAGTCTTACCCCAAAAATTAAGAGATAAACAGGAATGGCTTATCATAGACCTAATCCTGTTTATGAGAGTTTTATTTATTTTATCAACTGAACCATTTTGTTGTGATGTTATTGTAGTGTGGTAGTTTGGTGAATTATACCATACTCCTTACAAAACTAAACAAACAAGTCGAAGCAAGAAAGATGAAGAACCCTCAATATGATTAGATTTTGATTAGCAATATCGTTAAATTGTAGATTGTAGAGACCTAGTATTTACCAAAACTCTAATGAAGCTTTTATGGTGGTCTTTTATGACCCAGATAATTCTCTTTTATTGAGGGTTTTGGTTACTCCAAGGATGTCCCTGGTGAGAAAATAACCTTCAAAATCTAAAGAGCATGGGAGTTGTTCGCAAACTATTTAGAAGATATTTTCTCTCTAAAATTCTTTACATAATAAACTATAATATTTAAAAAATAATTTAGATAAAGAAAAAAATGTCACAGATGAGGCCCATGGCCACACACATAGAAAAAATTAATTCAATGTAGTGCAGGAGTCAAGCCACCGGAATTAGATAGTGACGTAGTCTTTTGAGTGTGAAGAGTTCATTCTTTTTCTTTTTTGAGCATGAGCAATTCTAGGTGAATAACACATCAGTTTTTGTACAAGAAATCAAATAAGAAGTAGAGAGACTTAGAAGTAAGAATGAAAGTGAAATAAAGAGTCAACAAAAGCTTACAAAAATAAATTGCTACTCTCCAAGAATAAAAAAAAGGCCAAAAATAGAGGAAGAGAAAGAAGGAAAAAGAAAAGAAAAAAGATTCAAAACCTCCTTAGCAGTAACTATACCCACCTATTAATGGAATGGTTAGGAAGAGAATATGGGAGAGGCTTTGAAATTGTCTGATGAGATAGTACAAGGGCTATCAAGCTTGATTAAGTCACTATGGCATGCTCTTATATACTCATTGCAAGGAGGGAAATTTGAAAGACCTTGAAGCTAAGAAATAGAGTTCTAGAGGACAGATTGTAAATAGATGTTGCTATGTATAATGAAACTACAGGTGCACTTTGTGAAAAGTATAATCTAGTGAATGGGAGGGTGTGAGGGAGTAGCTAGATAATGTCACCGATACTACTTTAATCCATTTTACATGCAAAATGGGTGATGCACAAGAAGCCCCAGTGGTACTAAAAAAATGCAGACTCTAGAGTCATTAAATAAGGCAATTTGATGAAAGGTATTTAGGAACTTAGAAATAGCAGCAAAGGTGTCACAAAAATAAAATATGCAAGGGAGAAAACTATACCTCATCAAGCTTGAGCAATACAGTATCTGGTGTATCTATAGTTATAAAATTAGAAAAAATTAAGAAACATCAACAACTACATAGGTCCATGTCATAGGCTGTGCCCACATATGTCCACCTCTGATATTCATATAGGTGTTTGCTATTTGGCATCTAAAGATAACAAAAGGCAAAGCAAATGAACGTCTATATGAAAATAGCAAATAGGTAACTAAAGAATGGACTAAACATACACCGCAGTGATGATTATTAGCTCCACAGTTTGAGGTCAGATTAGTAGTACCAGGCCTTTTATACTTTGCTGAAGTAATGAGATGCATGATATGGATGACATATTCGCGGAGAATCAATAACAAATAGGCGAAATGAGAGCATTGAGCCTTATATTTTGGAATGCAGAAAAATACATGGAGTGGTCAAAAGAGAATGGAAAGGATTGTGTATCGGTTGATTTTCTTGCGCTCATGAAGTTTTATATTTATTTGAGCATAATGTATAATTGTGGACGATTTATTGAAATTGCACAGGTAGATTTTATTAGAATTATGAATGAGCTTATGCACCTATAATCCTATTTTTAAGATTGATAGTAAATAAAAATCAAAGCTTAATTGTAGAAATCATGTGGTAACGGTTCGTATAATCTGTTTTTAAGATACTAATATTATGAAGGTAATAATCGTGTGATTTTATCCATTTTTAACCATCGTGTAAAAAACCACACTCGTAAGTGCGAGAGTGAGAGAAGCACACCTTTCGCTGCAAGGACCCTAGGAGAGGGGCAGCTTTTGCAAGTACAAAAGAACATGCCATATGCAAGTAGCTTTATGCATTTTGAGGGTCTGGATAACCCCACAGAATTTATCAAAAGTTTAGTTTGCTAGATACATTCAAAGGGCAAATGTTTTGATGGGGCTACAGCGTAAGTTAAGCCTCAATTCAAAACTCGCTGAAAATTACAGTTCTGGCGTTCGAAAACCTTTTCGGAAAATAGAACTTAGAGATTTTAAACCCTAAAAATAGTGCATATTATAACATGTTATCTAGACCATCCATTTTGCCCTAAAAATAAATATTCATGGATACACTAGATTTGTACTATTTTTTGTGCTTCAAATTTCATAATTAGTGTTGCAAATTGATTTTAAAGCCATCAAAATGATTTCCCATGCCCAAGGACTTACAGAAGCTACACCCTATTCAAGATCATATCTTATATATTTAGTTGAGCATCCCACACTCAATTCGTTGAATATTCCTGCCACCAAACAAAATGTAACATCCGCTATTCTCAAATGCCTGGTGACAGACAAAGGCTAATTAGCTTTTCTCTTAAAAAAAAATGGGGGAATTCTTGACCATAGCTGGCTAATAACGCATGCAATATCGAACTTTTAGTCACGACGAAGGAAGTGGAAAATTTTCTAAGCACATGCCATAACATATACTATTCATACAAGCTAGAGCCTCAGAAATATTACATCAGCAAAACAACTCTGATCCTTCCCCCTTCCATCTCTTCAAAACGATTCTTCTCCTCCTCACTTGCCTTGTACAAAATGCTGCAACTTATTTTTATAATCAATAGCAACAATATTAACAACGTGCGACTGAAACAGTCGTACTCCACAATGAATTAAAGAATACAAAGTAGATTCCAAGCCTCTCCGGTTTTTATAGCCAAAATTGGGGTTTTGTGGCATTCCGAACCCGTGTGATTGTCTTTGCTCCACAGAAACAGGGGTTCATCCTCATTGCTTCACTGAAACCAGGGGTTCATCCTCATGGCTAAGTGGTTAGGGGTATAATGGCTGCATCACTAACATCGAATTCCAGTTTATCCCCAATTCGAGAGAGAGAGAGAGAGAGAGAGAGAGAGAGAGAGAGAGAGAGAGAGAGAGAGAGAGAGAGAGAGAGAGAGAGAGACGACGTAACTAACGTAACTAACGTAACGTAACGTAACGTAACGTAACGTAACGTAACGTACGTACGTAGTAACGTAGTAACGTAACGTAAGTAA